GCAGATACAAACACACGCCTTTTCGTGCTCCATCAGAAGTATATTCTTCTGGAGGCTGACACGAGGGGGGTGGCCTCTGCGCTACACTTTCCAGAATTGGCAACTCTCTCCATATTTCCACGTTGCCGCCACGTCGAGAGAGACTCCGCCGCCCTCCTCACCTTACAAGGGTTGAACAGAACTTTTTGCTGGTGGTGGTAGGCTCCCGCGCTGACGCCTCTCGGCGACCCTTCCTCTTCGCCTGCCGCGCCAGCCGCCTCTTTCTCCACTTCGAGCCAAGCCTCGAGCCACAACGCCCCCTCCTCCTCGCCGACGCCGGTGCTACCTCGGTCCTCGCCCACTGCCTCCTCATCTGCCAGTGCTGCCGCCGATGCTGCCCGCAGTTTTCCTCCCGATCCTGTCTCAGATGCCGCAGGCCGCCGCCAGATGACCTTCCCTCTCTCTTCCCAATCCATACGGCCGCCGCCTTCGGCGCCGCCGGTCGCTAGTACCCCCCCCTCAGCTACGACGCCCCCTCCCCCCCCGGCATGTGGTGGCGATGGTGGTGGTGTTGCTGCTTCTGCTGCTGCTTCTGTTGTTGCTTCTGTTGCTGCTTCTGCTGCTGCTTCTGTTGTTGCTTCTGTTGCTGCTTCTGTTGCTGGTGCTGTTGCTGTTGCTGCTGTTGCTGCTGTTGTTGCTGCTGCTGCTGCTGCTGCTGTTGCTGTTGCTGCTGTTGCTGTTGCTGTTGCTGGTGCTGTTGCTGGTGCTGGTGCTGCTTCTGCTGCTGCTGCTTCTGCTGCTGCTGCTGCTGCTGCTGCTGCTGCTGCTGCTGCTGCTGCTGCTGCTTCTGTTGTTGTTGCTGGTGCTGGTGGTGCTGGTGCTACTTCTGCTGCTAGTGCTGGTGCCGGTGCTGGTGCTGCCGTCGGTGGTGGTGATTCGGAAACAGTTGCCACCGGCAACGCTGATACTTCTCCTTCACCGTCCGGCGTCCCTGCCGCCGCCACTGCCGCTACCGCCCCCTCGATAATTTCTTCCACAACACCGGCAACGACACCGCGCGCGGTGGCGGTGGCCTTGTCATCCCTTACGATTGTCGAGGAATCGGACAACTCCTCATCCGTCCCACCGTCGCCTTCGCCACCACCCCCCCCGCCACCTGCAACACAAGTCGCGTCTCCCCCCTCGGGACCGTCCGACCAGTTGGGAGGGCTGTACCACCGCAAGAAGTCGGCGAAAACAGCGCCCGGGTTGGCCGAGAGGAAGCAGCGCATGTCGGCCGAGAGGGTGGACAGTCGGAGCCGCGAAGCCCTCGTGTTCGACTGCTGCCGAGCCCCGAATCCGTCAGATGATTCCGCTGTGAAGCTTTTGGGGTCAACGAAGGGTGCGGGGAGACGGGGAGGTCGTGATCTATTCAAGACAGGGCGCGCCGGGCGGTGGGCGTGTGCATGTGTGACGGCAACTGTAGTACGGGCAGGGGGAAATTCGGGACCAAAAGCGGTTGGAGGTGGAACGTTCACGGCCCCAACATCAATCATGATGATGATAATGCTGATGATAATAGTTACAACGCTGGTGTCGGACCGAACAACAGGATGCATACCCGTCGAACCCCTCTTACAACCCTGACACGCAAGGCGAGGCAACACAAGCCCTGACCGCTGGCTTCACGCAGAAAAGCACGGCACAGCGATTTTGGCGATCGCTGTGCCCTCGCGAGGTCTGGGCCTGAAAGATAAACTACCTGAGACGTCGCGCGATCTCCCGCTGCTGCTCAAGCATGTCCGACGTGAGGGGGCACGCAGGCAATAGCTCCGGCACCACCGCCCTGCAGAGACAGACGACAACAGACGCCAACAAAGAAACGCGAAATCGTTTGCACGGCCATGGAAACAATCGTTCCGTTGTTTGTCGTTGGCTTCTGAGACAGGTCTGAAGATTCCGCCATCTAGTACGCCCTGACCTTCCTAGCTCAGGATTCAACGGGGGTACATGTAGCAGAAGCAACACCTACCGCCAAAATACACTAAACGGGAAAAAACGAGCACCTGCAAACACGGGCTGAGCGCGTGATTCGACCGAAAACCAATACCCTGGCTTACCGCTCTCCCGTGGCCAGAAGGCGATGACCCGTGAAGCACGTTACCCTACCAACAGCGGCGGCATCGTCACCACCGTTGTCGACACCAGCACCAGCCGCCACCTCGGCAACGGCAGCAGCATCCCCACCGCCACCTACTATGCCACCCGGCGTAGCCACAACGTCGCCTCCCTCCCCCTCTCCCGCCGGCATGGTTTCGTCCGCAAGATCTTCATCGATCTCTGCCTCCTGCTTGGAGGCGCTGTTAGCCCGGTGATCGCGGACCTTCTGAACGGCACCCCCCACTTTCCTAGCCGTGGCGCCCCCGACCTTCTTCACCGCGCCCCCGACCCTGCTCACGGCACCCCTCACTTTCCCGCGGCCGGGGGACGGGGAGCTGCTGCCGCCGGGCGGCGGCGGAGGCGGTGCATCCTCGGACGCGTCTGTGTCAACCACCGTCGTCCTCGTCACCGTCTGCTGCTGCTGTTGCTGCTGATGTTGTTGCTGCTGCTTCTGTTGCCGCTGTTGCTGCTGTTGCCGCTGTTGCTGCTGTTTCTGCAGACGATCTTCTTCTGGATCCCCGCCGCTAACGCTGGAGGTCAATCTGGCCGTGGGGAGGGTGCTTTCATTTCGAGGGACTGGGGATGGTGCCGGCGGCGGCGGCATCTTGCCATCCTCTCGCTTCGTCCCACCACCATCACCACCGCCGCCACCACCACCACCGAAGTGCCACCACCCCCCCCCTCCGCTGTTGCTGCTACCGCCGCCGGTGGCGCCTTCCTTTTTCACTCCCACTCGCCTAAGGATAGCGTCTCGCTCCGCGGCAAACGCGGCCTGCTTCCTCCCCGCCGAACCCTCGGCATAATTACCCGACGAGTCGCCGCCGTCCAGCCGACCGGCTTCGCGTTGACGTGCACCGGCGTTGTCCGAACCCTCACCGCCGTGGCGGCCGCCGCTGCTGCTCCTTGAATGCCCCCCCCCTTCACCCTTCTCCGAGCCTGCTGCTGCAGCCGCCGCAGCCGCAGCTTCCTTTGCTGTTGTTCCTGCTGCTGCCCACCGCCCGGTCTCGTCGTCCACTAGACCACGACCGCTGAAACCGGGACCCGCTGCCCTACCCCCCTCCGTACCCTTACCGTCCTCGTGGACTAGGGGCGAAGAATCGCCGGCCCCCCCGTCTCCGCTACAATCGATGGTGGTGTCCTTGTCCCTGCCATCGTGTTCATCTTCGGCGGGAGGGGGTGCCGAGGGTGGCCTTGCCAGCGCCCGGGCGCGGTGTTGCTCTGCCACGCAGCAGTTGAGCATCTGAAGCTTCTGGTGCAGCAGACAGGTGCTGGCGGCCGTGCGTTGGGCGATGGGGGAGGGAAGGTTGTTTTTATGACGCTGAAAAATTAATAAGACACGTGAATTAACACGAGATACACACGTGGCCATTTTTGGGAGTATTAAGATAATTCGCCGTTGCTGCTTGCTGTCCGCTTCCCGCATCCGGCTAGAGATACACTTGGCCATTCTTAGGTAAACGATAATTCGCCGTTGCTGTTTGCTGTCCTCTTAACGCATCCGGCTAGAGCTATTCTACGACACCACGCGACGCGAAGACTGCAACAGAGAAGGTAACGAAGACTAAACTTCCTGAGTGCCGGCACCGCAACTTTGGAGACAGTTCAACACCAAGATGACCCACCGCATGTCTGGCGGGGGTGGCGGCAACGCAGCTCCTCCTCCCACCCACCCCCTCCATGTCGTGGGGCGAGACCGAATCTCACCACCACCACCACCACCACCACCACCACCACCACCACCAGCGAACGGCTCACGAGCTGCTGCTCCATCGTCCCGCTCTGCTCTTCTTCCTCCCTCATCACACGCCCCCGGCGGCACAGCAGCCGCAGCGCTACTACCACCATCACCCCCACCCGGGCTAGCAGCACCAGCAGCACCAACAGCACCAGCACCAGGGAAATCGTCTATGGCATCCACTGCCGCCACCATGCCCGGCGACAACGACGACGACGTCACCGCCGGGGTTGCGGGCGGCCTCTGGAGGATGTTCCGCCGCAGCCGCTCGGACAGACCGGCGCGCTGTCCCGTGATGCGCAGGTCGTACATGCTGAGACCGTCCACCGGCGGTTCCGGGTCCTGTGCCAGCGAGAGACGGGGGGGCGGGGGGCGGGGGGCGGTGGGGGCGGTGGGGCCTCTGAGAGGGGGTAAGAAGTTTTTTTTTTCTTGCTGGACTGAGACGAACATTCTCCCGAGTTTCTCGTCCGGATGCTTACGCTTGGCATCCGCGTAAATGTGCGAACACGTCGTAGATGCTGCAGGTAGGAAGGCTATTTGGACGCCACTAAACCTTAGCTAGGCCACGCCAAAACCTGAGTATCTCACCATCTGCGGGACAGACGCGCTCTCTTCCCACAGAAACCTGAGCTCTTGCACAAAGGACTTCCAGAAGGCTGCCACGTCCCCAAGGCAGACCCCCTCCGCCCCTGCAAAGACGACAGGTTGACAAAACGCGTAAGCACTCGCACACTAATGCACCTTTCTTCTGTGCTGCCGTTTCCATCTTTAATCCGGAGAGTAGCTTGTGTAGCGCCCCCCACGACGCCCCCTTGCGGGGGTCCCAGATCATGGCAAATAGAAGAACTTTTCAGCCGCTATGAGACTGAGGTCTAATTTTCATTGGCCGACTAGCGCGGTCGATGCTAATGATAAAAAAACACCCGCCGCGGACACTGACGTGTCTTTCCGTCGGTCAGGGGGTTACCGCGTTCCATGCCAATTTAAGAAACACACTCATAATGGATGAAGACACAGGGGCCGAGTGAGAGGGAGAGCGTCGGCTATGTGTTTAAGAGAAGGGGGAAACGGAGGGATCGGCGAAAGAGAGAGGGATGTGCGTGGGGGTCGTGGTTCTTGGCGGTGTGCGACTATTGCAACCGACCACCACCACCACAATCCTTCATCGTGGGTGTGATCGCACACAACGTCCGCTCATTGTTCGAAAGCCCAACGAGAGAACCAACCCCCCCCCGAACGATTCAAGCAGTTCCCTGCTACCGCAAGGTTGGGGCTCTTTTTTTTTCATTTCGTTTTTATGCAGCAGCCTTATTTCGCGGCCTGGACGCGCAATTCCACTATTACATTAGACAACTCACCGAACCTCGCTGCCTCTAGGGCAAGCTGCGACACCAGGCGGCAGGCCGGCGCCCCCCCCCTCGGCACCCACAGCCACGGGGACCCCCCCTCTTCACCACCGCCACCGGCACCAGAGCCCCCTCGCTCAGCGCCAGCCTTTTCCGCACCACTACCATCCCCAACCTCGCCCCCCTCCGCTGCCACCACCGACCCTCCGCCGCCCCCGTGCTTTTCGGCGCTTCGCGACGGTCTAGACCGACGGGGGGTTAAGAGGTAGCGCGCGCTGTGGACGATGTCCGCCGGGTCTTTGTGGCCACCCAAAAGTGAGAGGGGGGGAGGGGGGGGGCAAGAGCGAGGAGAGACACATGCACGAGAAAATCAATATGCAAAGGGCAAGCGAACAACAACAGCTGGAAGAATCCGAATATGAAGAAGATAAAAACTACAGCCGACAGAGAGCGTTGAATGAGATCCGAACATGTTGTTGTTGTCTGCACACTTAACAAAAGTATAGAAAACACTAGTTAAACACCCCACCGATCGGGTCTGAAAAAAGAGAGCGGTTGCTCGCACTACACGGTGTGGTGCGATATGACTCTGACTTGTTGCCGCCGCACCTGCCCGGTCGTCGCCGTCCGTACCGTCGCCGCTCTCTCCGTCACCTCTCCGAGGCGCCGTGGTCATCCTTGCGATAAGCTCCCTCGTGCTCGGTCCGAGAACGGCACCGATGTGTCTCGCCCTCTCCCTCGCTGACGACAGTTCGGCCTGGAATGGATTGATTGTCGGGGTGGCCGTCGGTGTCGTTGCTATTGCTGCTGCTGAGTTGTTGATGTTTCCAACAAACATGATGCTCACTACAAATATTCCAGCAGAACAAACGATATCGAGCAGCGTGAAATATGTGACGACGCCAGCAAATCAACTTAGGGTTTGGCGCATCACAAGAGTTTCGAGACCTTCGCCACCGGGAAAGCAAGGCAGCCCTCCCTGCCAAAACCGTTCGCGGAATGGCAGACGGAAGCTTTTAACACTTTGCTGAATTCATAACAGTCGGAACGAATCACAACGGACGTTGGTTCCCCAATAACGTTCTTGTTCCCTGCTGTATAGCTCTTCCTGGCCGGTGCCATCCAAACCTTCAATGCTTTCAGCAGGAGGACATCAAGATAACCGACCCAATATGCCCCCGGGGGGGGGGAGGTCGTCGGAGACATAGCTCAAGTCTTCCCGGCTACAGCGCCATCTAGACCTCCAATGCTCTCAGCAGGAGGACATCAAGACAACCGACACACGTGCCCCCCGGATTGGGGGTAGTCGATGACACAGGTCAAGTCTTCACGGTCATCTACACCTCCAATGCTCTCAGCAGGAGGACATCCAGGACATCACGCCAACTGCCCCCCCCTCCCCCAGAAACACTGCGACATGTCATGTGAGAACGAACCAACCTCAGCGTCGGCACTGCAGATGTCAGCCATGAGGAGGTCACCCCCTAGCGCCAGGCAGTGCACGTACACGGCAAGGAGGAGCCGGAGCTTCAAGCCTAGGGACCCGGCGGAGAGGCTTGTCGTCTGCAGCAGCAAGAGGAACGGCGGCGGCGGCGGCGGCAGCGGCGGCGGCGGCGGACACGGGTGTTGCGGGGTGGAGTGCTGTTGTCCGCTTGTGGGGTGAGGTATGGCTTCTTCTTCTTCGTGCAACACAAAGATCAGAGCAAGGGGGAGGACGCCGGTGGATTCGGCTAGCCTGCAGTAGGAGACTGTCGACAGTGACCCTTCACGGGGGAGTGTGGGGATAGTGCGTGATACTTGGACACAAGAGGGGCGCTCGTAGACGCTACATACACCGTGATGTTGGCGCATTGGAGATGCGAGGGGGGCGGGGGGGGCGGGGGGGGTGTACTCATAGTCGTGCATGCCGTAGTCGTTAGACCATTGACCTCGCACCCCTACAAAGCCGGGACGGAGCACGCCGGGTTCTCACCGGACCAGGCTCTCACATCACCAAGCGCGAAGCGCCGTGAGGTATTCGGCGAGTCGCATGAAGGGTGAGCTGCATCCTGCCAAGGGTGTTCGGCATCTTGTGCTTACTTCCTTGCGTACGGATGACAGCTACGTATGACTTAATTTATTTTCTGGTGCTTTCACTTCCAGAGCCAGTTGTAAGCACTGTGTAACTGCCTCGAGGAAGCTTGACCATTTAACACAACGTTGTGCGACCATCCCCCGTTGCGCGGAGTGAGGGTTCTCGACCCCGCACAACATGATCTACTCGACCACCATTCATGGTTACCGCCAAAAAAACAAACGAGGTAAAAAAAACAAACGGTAACCTGGTTGCCGAGTTCACGAAGTGAATTGGCTTGTTTTACAACGTCGTTGCCAAGCGACGAAAACCCAACCCCGATGGCAAACACGGAGTGGGGGGCTTGTTTTACAACGTCGTTGCCAAGGGAGGAAAACCCAAACCCCGATGGCAAACCCCGGGGGGGGGGGGGGGTACATTTGTCGTTAGGTCCAACGCTCGCGACCAGTGATCACGACCCCCTGCGAAACGCAACAGTACCGCGCCACATTCTATATAGGTTCCCTTCTGTGGACGATGGAAGGGGCGGGGGGTCAGCGGGGGGTTGGTCGTGGGTGACAGTCCTGCAATGACGTAAAGCCCGTAACATGAGCCAAAATAACGCGTTTCAATCGCCCAATCGAACACGACAGGTTCCCAGGGGAAGGGGGGGGGGGGGGGGGCACGCGAAGCGGAATACGACCGAAGCGTGATCTGTATCTGTTTAGCGTGAAAACACAGTTGTACAAGAACAACCGTGCGTAGCAAGCAACGCGGGTCATGGACGCTCCTACAACACAGCAAGCACCAGCGTGCTTGCGACCCACCTCCCAGGACACAGAGGCTTCCCACTGCGACAACGAGCTGCTCCCACCGGGGGGGGACAAATAGTCACAGAGGAGCTCCAGGGGGGCGTGCGGGAGGGGTCGATCTCCGCCGAGCCCCCGCCACACCGCCGACAGTCGAACTCCGTCTAGCGGGTCCTGCGTTGCACACAAGAGGGTGAAGGAAGAAAGAGAGAACCAGAGAGAGAGAGAGAGAGAGAGAGAGAGAGAGAGAGAGAGAGACAAACAGACAAACAGAAAGACAGACAGAAAGACAGAGACAGAGACAGAGACGGAGACAGAGACAGAGAGACACAGAGAACAGAGAGAACAGAGAGACAGAGAGAACAGAGAGACAGAGAGAACCGAGAGACAGAGAGAGGGACAGCGAGATTGGCGGGAGAAACAGGGGAGGGGGGTCTCAAAAGTCTTGCAGGAGCTTGGCGGCCAAAACGACCTCACGCCCTCGGTTGATCAACGAGGCGCAAGAGGCCCGTGTCATGGCAACCAAGCGGGGATGGGTGAGGGCGAAGCCATGCTAATTGAGTTGGCGAAACTACAATCTTCTCTCCATGTAGAAATGAGACAGAGAGAACACGATTGAAAATAATTCCCCCAAGAAACAACAAAAAACGTGGCAACGAGTACAATCACGTATACATTTCGCAAAGTGAGGAGGCGCCCGCCAAGACCTGGTGCCAAATCATCCCCCGTCGGCGCCAACTCAAGACTGGTTGCCAAACAACTTGGGTTGCATTGTACACGCGTTCCTAGCGGGCGTTATTTTGCCGGACAAGAGCAGTACTGGTGAGGGCAACAAGCCGCCCCCTCACCCCCTCTGGCCCCCAGGCGGGGATGCCGTGCTCCCCCCGCGCCGAGGCCAACAGCGTCCGGACGGCGCACTCTCTCGTCCCCCGGCACAGGTGCGACCGTTCCCGCAAGAAGCCCGCCCTCCACTCGGTCTTCCGGTGGTGTGCAGATGCATCGGTGTACATACATGAAGCACGCACATGCAGAGGCACGCAGCCGCGCGTATGCAAGAGAAAACACACACACACACACACGCCGAAAACAGGGGACGGTACGGACGTATTGGAACAACACGCGAGCTTACGTTCCAGCTTCCTGCGCACAGAGCAAGCAGCAGTAGCAGCAGCAGCAACAACAGCAACAGCAGAAGCAGCAGCAGCGGCACACACCAAAAAGCAAGGGTAGCCAAGGCAGCGCGACCATCGGGCCGCTCGAGCTTTGTTGACAAGCATCAAGAGTGCCAACCGGCTGAACATCGAAATCGTGCCAGTCACACACTGAAGCGGGATAAGAAACGACAACACGTTTTCTTGTCATCGGGCTTCCCCGTGGAGATCGGGGGAGCGCGGGGGAGACCAGAAGATAGAGTCCAGATCTCCGCGATCAGATTTTTTGCAAGAGTGCGTTTTCTTGCACGGGGAGGAGCACTACGCACAACCTCCCTAACATTGGTTCCCCCGAATCTCGAGGACCCGACCTGCAGCAGCGGCTACTGCATACTCCCGCTACACCGGTCTGCTGTCGTCGGGGGCGGTTGCCCCTACATGTACTGCTCCCACGAAACTTGTCTCTTCCCACCATGCTACACCTGACAACGATCATCGCTAGTCTGCAGTTGCCGCGGTCCCTATTTGTTCCCACGAAACTGATCTATTTGGCCTCTAGCCCCCCCCCCCAAATAATTAAATAAACTGAAAACGCCCCAACCAAAAAAAACAACATATTTTTATCCATCACCTGCCGAAGATCATCTTCTCCATCTTCGCCCCCCAGCACCCTCCCGTCGAACAAACGCCTCTCCCAAGTGTACCGAGCCGAGGCTTCCAGGCGTCCCCCGTAACCCCTCCTCCCCCATGCGGACAACGCCTTGTCCGTGAGCAACTCCCCGAGGGCCTCCAGAGACAGCCGAGAACGCGGCACAACCGATGACGCTTCGCTCTCCAGGCGCACGGTTTCGGCTCTCCGGGTCCAGTCGGCGTGGCCGGTGGGGGAGAGTGTGGCGTACCCCTTGACCGACACCCCTCTCCGCGATGCCGAGTCTAAGCAAGGGGGTGGAGGTGGGGGGGGGTACGTTCATCCTGGAGCGTGGAAGCAATGGTCCAAGAAAACAAAACGGGCGCATGCACATACACGCAAGTCCTGGCAGCGTTGTGTCTGCCCCGCCTTAAAAAGAACTGATGGAGATGAATTGATCAAGCGTTTATCGCGGTCGTCGATGCTATCAAACACACACACGTGAACAACACCCGCTGGCAATGGCTTCTTTTCATCGGTCAGCCGGCTAGCGCGATCGATGCTCATAATAACAAAAACAACACAAACGCACACGCACGGCTGATGGTTGCAGAGTTATCTTCTTTTGGTTCATGACTCGGATGGGCAAAACAGGATCGACCAGCACGGTAAGAAGCGGGTCATCTTTCTTGTACATCCAACAACAACACACAAACCGAGGACACAAACGCCCCCTTCGCACCTCGGCTGCCCCGACCGCGCCGACCGTTGCCGTCGCCCCCCGGCTGCTGCTGCATCGCCAGCACCGCTCCGCACCGCCGGTCCTCCATGGCCATCACTCCCGTGGAAAGCAGCTGCTCCAAGCTCAAGCCCGTCCCGGCTTCGTGAGAGAAGCCAAACAGCGACGACGGCGACAGGCGGGCGGACCGGGGGGTGCCGCAGGATGCACCAAGGCAGTTACACGTAAAGGCGAGAAAATATATGACGGGCACGGGAAGGCTTATCGTAGCGCGGCATCAAGGACAAGCGGCCGCGCGAATAGTATCGGGGGGGGGGAAGCGGTTCAGACCGACCCAGGAGCATGGGCCAGGAGGATTGTTTCGGCGGTCATTTACCGTCCTAGAACTAGTCAGGTCCAAAAACGGAAGCCCGGACTCACCGCCGTCTCCCGAACGGGATGATGATGCAGGCTTTGTCGCTGCTTCATGCAGGCATAAAAGATCGCCGAAACCGAACCTGCTCAAACACACACGTGTACCGCCAGGAAAAAAACGAAGAGTAACATAGATTGGGGCACGTTTCTTTTGCACTCGACATGCTTTGAAAGCAAGGAACACATCGCCGCGCAAAGAAAACAAAACACGACACACCAAACCATCTTGTAGAGCCTGTTACCCTAACACCAGATATTGCTGCTTGGGGAAACGTAGAACCATAGTGTTCAGCTAACGCTATAAATGAATTGCTAATTTTTTCCTAGACCTTTATCTATGGATAGAGATGGATTTGTTGTGATACACAAAAAACCAAAACGCCCTTTCCAAGTTCGCCGGGCCTGCCGCCGCTTACGCACCAACTGCGCAGCAGGTGCCACGCCTCCACGTCTTCCAGGAACTCCCGCTCGTCCGCTTCCTCCTCCCGACTCGACATCGTCGCTGCTGATGATGACGGTTCCGGGGCCAGCCACGCGTCTAGGGAACACTCCTCCTCTCCGAAAAAGCTCGCCAGGTCCGGAAACGCCGAGATGTCGCCTTCGTCGCCGGCAGTTGCAGCTCCTCCTGCTGTCATGCGAGCCTGGAACACGTGAAGGGTTGTGTCACGAGGAGGATTGCAGTTGGCGGCCGATAAAAAGTGTCAAAACTTGACCCAGCGCTATGGAATGGTCGGTTATAGTGGGGGTCATGACGACAATCTTGTTGCTGCCAAAGTTGTTTCAAGATGCATGGTACGTGTGCTGTACTAGCCTCGTACATTTGATCTACTGTAGAGGCGAGGGAGGGCTGGGTCGGCGACATTGCTACCGTTTTGTTGGCCCCGAATGGGAGCTATGTAACGTGAAAGCAGAGTTTGTAGAAGGCGAACGCACCAGAAGAACGTTGGAATGATGCATAATCCGAACACCTGAATCTCGCAAATGCCAGGTGCTGCACATGCTATTCTCACATTCTCACACATGCTGCGATGGACGTGACCATTCTACACCAAAACGCCTGTCCAAACGACAACAACAGCAGTCGAGTCTACAGCAGTACACACACTTCCCATTGACGTAGGCAGCACCAACTACTCCCTGCCTCACCAGACCTAAAATACCCTTCATCCTTGGCATTGCATCAAGCATCATTGCCAAGAAGCAATGACGGACATCCGGACCGTCCAATCTCGCGCGGCTGCTGCTTTGTCTACAAGTTTGGTCGTTCCAGCAGAGAGGTGCAACAGGAGAGCCAATGAGCCAACGGCACATATGCAGGGCGGACAGATTCCTGTCAAAATTTTCAAATTCAATTTTCAAACCACACATGGTATCGAACAACGATAACGATACCCTCTACCCTCCTTCGCCCCGCGCGACTGAGACGCACTGCGCGTTGCTTTCTTGCGCGTCTACCAAAGCTCTCCGCACCTTGCTGTTGTTGTCGTTGCTGTTGTTGCTGTTGTCGGAGTTCGGACCGGCGATCAGGCTTCTCAAACAATATGAGCGCCCGTCATAGGAAGTGAGCTGCTTGTTGCTCCGCCTCTGCGTTGTTATTGCTGCCGCCGCTCCCGCCACGTCGTTGATGAAGTACTCCCATTTTGTGACGCAAGAGAAGTCCTTCCAGTCATCGTGCTCGCAGCTGACAGCAGCTGTGCGTGAGCCCTGCTGCTGATTCTCGGACATTGTACTGCTGTACACGCTGATGATGTGACAATCGAGTGTTGAACGTAAAAATAGCCCTTGCTGTAGACTGCGTGTTCAAAATCTCCCTGGAGTGTGCAATCCTAGTTTGCAATTGAGGCGTGCAAATACCATAGTCGTGAGCAAGGAGGAACCACTTGTTTTGGTTGTACTTGCTGTCCTTCTGGGCCTTGCATAGACAACACAACAAACCATGCACGAGCAGCGTTGATGGTGTCGATGGGAGGTACCCGCAAGTTCTGCCTTTGTAATTGCGGGGCCCCTGGGAGAAGGTGTATATAGGCAACACCAACTGAACTGACAGCAACGTCGACCACCATCAACAGCAGTGTCGTGGTCGTGGGTCATTGTGGTGGAAACGTGACATTCATTGCACGCTCCGCTTCGGCGGCCTCGCCTCCGCCTTTCACTTCCTGTTGGAGCTCTTCTGTGCTTTAGGTGATAAATCGAAAACTTCGTACCATATTTATCCGATCTCCATCTTGTCTCCATCTGTAAACAAGAGGTCACTGCAACACATACATGCGCCGACATCCAAGTTTGTGGACATCGACCTCTGTACCGATCGAAAGGTAGCACCTGCAAGGTCGGTGATCGTGTGACCTTGTGTTGTTTGTGCATCTCTCCCTTTTTTTCATATGACGCTGTCTTTCTGTCTCGAGACTACAATATTAATATTGTACATACATACAGCACAAGTAGTTCTTGTGCAGAACTGTGGAGCGATTGATTGCACTTCTTATTCGCGTACCGTAAGGCATCGAACCGCCCCCACCCCAGTGTCCTTTCGGTACACCAGCTTCGACGTGCTGGCCGATTGTTATATTACTCCTATCAGTCTGCTCTCCTTCCTCCGAAGCATATGAGCTTTTCGGAGAAAGGAGAGCAAACTGGTACTTACTGCTGTAGTATCGCAAAGTCCTACTACGAGCTGTAGTAGAGCCGGCTACGTAACTGAGGGTGTCTGTGTAGGTAACAGAGTTAGCCAGCATGGTGTCGAAGCTAATGTTGACCCGAAATGGCACCAGGGGAGGCGGTATATTTACCGTACGGTACGCGAATGCAACCGCTAGCGCTCGCTCCGCTAAGTGGCTGGGTGCCCCGCCGACTCGTGGCAGTCTCTGGCCGTCTGTTTTATGGTGTCCGATCCGAGAGACCGAGCTCCTCGGGTAGGTTGGTCGGATTGTTCTACTGTAGCCGAGGGATCATGACCCACATAGTGGAACGAGCACCAAGTTCCCGGAGGTCCGCCTCCACGGCCGCCGGCACCGCGCCAGCCACGACGATCACGGCCAATATGACGATGCCGTCTCGGCACAGTTTCGACAACAGAGCCGCGGCACCCGGGGCTAGCGACGGTGTGGGTCAAGCGATGGCTGGTCCTCTCTCCCCCTACGGAGCAGCGCCTGCATCAGGCAAGCATTATCACATAGTTGGCTCTAGTCAGGCCGCCAATCTCGTCGACCGATTTCGTTGGTGACGTTTGGATGGTGCAAAATAAGCTTTTTTTTAGATCCCGTTGTCGGGCGTTTGACCATCCGTCAACTCACCAATCTTGCGATAGGAACGGTCATGAATGTTCTACATCTCCAGTCTGGCGCGATGCAGCTTGAGCCCGACCGGTACGCATCAGTGGACCGTACATGACTGACCTTTCCACCCCATTGCGTGGGATTGCTAACGGGCTTGGCTCATGATTGTTTTGTGGGCCAGCCAACGCCGACACCGTCTCAGTTTAGCCTCATGACGGATGAGGTTGTCCGGAGTACATGAAGCTTTTTTCATTTGCGATTGGATTGCGCTTGTTTTAACGGGAACAAGCGTTGACGGGAGGTGCTGCCGACAACGCTAAAGCCGCCCTCGCAGCGCATGCTGACGCACTCCACGAGCGTCCCGAAGCTTCACGTTAGTGTCGCCCATGCCACACCCTCGTGTCCCGGGAAGGATAGTTTTGGCCGAAGCTGGTACGCCGGCGAATGAATGCGCTGACCCGCGCCGCTTGGGTAACGCTGATACCAGCTGCTTTGCTCTTTTTCCTGCACGGCTCCTCTGCCTCCTCCGACTCAGCAGTGGCGGCGGGTAAACCTCCCAGGGTATCAGGCAGATTTTTCATTGTTCCACAGCCGCGGTGCTGCCTACCCTTCTCGTTGAGATTGCCCTCCAGGGCTTCACCAATATCGGCGGTCGAAGCTGCTGTTTGTTCCAGCGTGAACCGACTTGACTCTCGATAGCGTGGGTTTTGACGTTCATCTCGAGGTTTTCCTCCTCCTTGGCCCACGTGATAACGCGCGTTTTGGGTACCCCCGGGGAACTATTTATATGCCACTACACACATGGATGGGGTTCCCACCGAGTTGCCGTCCACGAAGAGGACTCTTTCTCGTGGATGGTGCCACCTTCACTTCTAACCTGATGGTGTGGCCTGCTCTCTGTCCTGCTATGCCGGATCTTTCGACCGTGAAGTCAGGCTCGGGTGTAAGTGGCGTTTTTTGGCACGCTCGGGACCATTCTTCGCTGCCAGCAACTCGTCGATGGCTTCCTCCCGCTGCCAGTGAGTCTGGTGCCAACAAGCCAGGGGCAACAGCACCACAACCACCACCACTTAGCATTGACCTGTGAGGAGGTAGCGTCGGCACTGGCACCCTCTGACATGACACAATGAGTGTGCATGTGGTTGTGGATGCGCAGCGAGTACACACACATCCCGGCTAGTTTATTTTTCCGTACCATCTATTTCGCGGGCTCTTGTTCGTTTTGGTGTCTCGCTGATTTTTCGAATTCGCCGACATGTCCCTTTAGATGGTGTGTGTGCTTGGCTACGGATCCTGTGACGTAGATCTGCTGGAACGCTTGTACCAATAAGCCTCTGTGGCGTTGTTCATTCACAACGATCGCGACTTCTTTGCGTTGAGAGCCCTCGGCGTTCATCTTCAACTTCTTTACAAGAGAATCAATCGTAGACTCGCCCGCTCATGTGTTGTGACTCGTTGGTAGGTTTGATCATCGACGCATGCGGTTAGTGCCGTGATGCCCGGCACCCTCTCTCCCTGTCTTGCGATCTTGTTCGTCAGCCAGACGAACGGCGTGGTCAACGAGACTACGCACACACACGCGGTCTATTTTCAAGAGGATTGTGCTACTACTTGCGTGCACAACTGTAACAATGCCCCCCGACGGCCCCGCAGGACGTTAGAACCGGAGGCTGCAGCAGAAGCACTTCCATCCTATGGGATCACGGGCATCCCGCGATCGGCAGGAGCAGAGAGCGAAAGAGGAAGCTATCTCGAACTTGCAGTCCGCGTACGTCCGTCTAGCCCCGTCTTCCCTCGAGGGCGTCGGCGTCTTCGCTATGAGGGATATCGCCGAGGGCGTGGAGGTGATGCGGTGGGATTGGTGAGTCTGCCGACATGGAGGCGGCAACGCAACGGCAGATTGATTTCACTGTTGTCATTGAGCGGAAGAAAATTGCGGATGCAAATCCTTACCAAACCTAGCGTTTATGTGGTGTTATTCTTGTCAGAAGATGACGACCGCAACCACATTGCGCGGAATTTCGCACCGCACCCTCTACTTGTAGGGCGTTGGCGTGTTCAAAGCGGGTGATACGGTAGAAAATCAAGGTTGTTTCTAGGGCTATTGCGAGCCCGGGAACGGGCCTGCCTCGTGACCGAAAGTAATTTCGAATAGCTCAATCGTGCACAATGTAGGCTACCAAGGAGGCACAATCGCTCCCCATTTGAAAGAATAGCTGTAGAGTGCAGGAGAATTCCGAGCACTGCCACAACTGTGCCCGCGACACTAATTTTTGCTGCATGCCGTGCCCCATGTCCCGGCTCTACGTACGTTCCATATATTTTGGAATCCGGGTTTTGGTAGATGGCGCCAAGTTTCCCCCCGCCACCCTCTTTGGGTAGTTGGTTTTTGACCACGGAGGAAGGTGTCCGCGTCAGTTGGGCCAGTTCGGATATTGGAAGGTATTGAGCTGAGACCGAAATAGTTTGCTGACGTGAAGACAACAACAACAACAACAATGACAATGACAACGACACACACAATTATTCGCCTCTTAATCGCACCTCCTTGCCCCCGGCCACGGCCGGTGTCTGTCTCAATCGCCACACCCGAAGGCATAAATACGCGAGTGTTTTCATCCCAGGAGAAGAACTGCGGGAAAGGGTCCCAAAAGAGGTCTTCGATCAGCTACGGTGAGCTCGCGTGCCTAAGTCGATCCGCTCACAAGCGCCCTGAAGGAAGCGGTAGTGTGTTGACGTTTTTCTCCGAGTTTTCCCTCACCTCTATCATGAGTGTTGCACTCGTAAAAAGGATCACCACCCTGACGTGGATTGTCACCAAGCCTGAAAAGGTCTACACTAGGATACTCCCTGGTTCGGATGGGACACGACATTATTTTGCAACTTTTCACGGTAGCAATGTTGTGCTAGCTAATGCCTGCGTGTGGGGTGGCGTAATCCCCGTGGAATTGATAGGCATGGCCCCCGACTTGAGACCAACCAACCTTGGTCATGTTTTTCATGTTATTTCTTTTGTATATGCACGTGACAAATCAGGAGGATTTGGCACGTGGATCAGCACGGACAGGTGGCTACCCCGCTCGACTTTACTTCGACGCTGAGTTACATCAATTTCTTGAACCATTCCGATCAGGTACGGTGTGGTCGAGGCCCCCGTGAGGGGCGGGGGCATGAACGGACGAGTCCGTCTCATGGTGTATGGAACTGTTGGGGACGGGCCACGCACGTTCTTGAATGATATTCTCGCCACGCCAACATCCAGTGTATTTCTGCGTAGCACGGCAGTGTCTGGAGTAAGGGGTTGCATTCCCGTGATTGTCCGTATACGTCAGGCGGGCTTCCTCCTTTCACGTTGCGCCCAAGTTACCTTCTCTGCCATAAATACGTGGAATTCGCCTCTCTCGAAATAGGAACGCTAGACACCTCATTCTACTTTTCCATCGTGTGAATCCCCTGTAATCCCAACCGAGGTCGCACACTTGGTCGTGGTCTGAATTGATGCATTCATATTGTGCCGAGTGTTGTCTGTCCAACGAAGTACGGGCCGATTCGGTGCTCTCGGTTGGTATTTACGCGGAATCCGTTTGTAACTCCGAGGACCGTCTTGGCGGGCGAGCCTCGTGAAACGATGGGTGCATCAACTTGGGTACCTTCACCACCATCAGTTTCCTCGCGAAAGGATCCTTCACCAAACGATACAATCTGCAACTGCCCCAAACTTGGTTGGTACCCATCCGCCTTGTTCTTGACCAATATTACTCGCGTCCAGCACAAGACGGTTGTCGAGTGTCGCTACCTTCTTCATGGCGCTCAGTTCCAACCACCGCCGGCTCGCACTTTCCCCTGTCGACCCGCCGCGCGGTGTCTACGTCGTTCCCTCTCATCAGCCAAATTTGTCGTTTAGGTACTCTGACGGGGGCTACGTGACATCGAGGACCGTGGCGCGAGGAGAAGAGCTGTTCATCAACTACGACCGGGATTACTACCCGGGGTATACCGCTGGCTTTCGCGCCCGCGAGTCGTCTGCGGGCGACACCGTCTAGACAAGGGCTGTCATTCACGCCGCGGGTAACCCAACCCATTCAAGATGAGGAATGATTCTTAAGGTCCAGCAGGCGGTGTTTTTGTAGTAAACATCATTGGCCTAACTACGCCCTTTCGTTACAAGTATGATAGGTGGTTTTCCCGATGAACCTTGGTCTAAGGCTAGCGATGCGTTCAGGCGAAAGTAACTGCCAGCACGATGGGTTACATCTTTTTTCTTGGCGCTGTGCTCGTTTGCGCGCTCGTTAATCATGCCCTCCTTTCTCCCGTTTTCCAGACAGAAGCACACAAAAAGCGGATGTTCGTCGAGTCGTTCCGAACAGAGCACGACTGACGTGCGTCTGTCTGTGGAACACAGCTGTGTTTGAAATCTGTCGGCATGACAAATGCACTGCATGGTAGGTCGAGACAGCGCCCACCCAACTTGCTGGAAGCTTGGAGACTATTGGGGTGATCCATCGATACGATCAGGCTACGCACACAAAGTTTACGTCATCACGCTGCTGTGCCGAAGAGCGCTTTACGAATAAAGATGTTATTAAAACGGACTGATTGACCAACAGAGCCAACACAGATGTATGCACGCAAAAAAATTGCACCTACTTACACCACGAAACCCCAAACGCCCAGCACAGCGTAGGGGTTTCCCCGCAAAAGCCAGAAGATACACCGTGCGCACCTCAAATGTAATACAGCCGGATTTTAAGCGGTGCTTTTTTTGCGCCTATAAAAAAGGGCAATGAGTTAACACCAAACAAACATCGTATGGGCTTGAAATGACTACGGGGCCACCGTGAACCCCCCAAAAGCTTCCGCCTCCAGCCCGATCGCAAACAGCACACAAGCAAACACGTCGTGCAACACGAGAAAAAAAAAGCGCAACACCCAATCAACGAACCGAGAGTGTCAAAACTCGACCATCAAGAAAGATATGAAGACATGGAGCACGCGGGTCCAACTGTCGATCGCCGAAGGACACCACTCTTGAATTCCAGCACTGATGGATCGGGCAAGGTCATTATGATACCCAAAGCCGTGTTATTCATGCGGAGCTCAATATCTACCTTGACCACGTAGAAGCACGATGACATGCACGCTACAGACGTAAATGGCAAACTACTTTGTTGCTGCATCGACACATACGTAACACTGCCCCCCTTTCAACTACCTCTGCTGGTTTCGTTTCCCCTTTCACTGTGACCCTTGCTTTGTTCTGGCGTGCACCCGCAACAGATACGCCATGGCCGCCCCTCTGCGCCCCCTTTGTGTGCCCGTAAACATTCCCAAATACATGGGACACCTTCTCCCCCCCCTCCCAAGCTGCCGAGAGCTCCATCTTAACGTCACCCTCAACTCTTGCGCCCCGCGCCTCCATCATGCACATTGACAACCGTCGCCACATGGCGTACACAAAACAAGTGCGGTTAAGTGAGCTACTACAGCAGCGTGGAGTCGTCGGCAAAAACACCTAAAAACTCTATAAACTTCATAAATGGAACAAGCCGGGGAAATAGTTATTTTTCTCTGCCATCATAAAAAAACGGATGACACTAACCCAAAAGCACTTATCACAAAACCCAAGCATGCCTGAGAACAAGACAACAGGAGCAAGACAACATCGACAAAAACAGTAACGACACCAAAAACAACGATAGCAACATCACACAATACGGCCGAATGGCTCTGGAAAAGGATAGTTGCCCAAGAGGCAAGAAGGAACAAACATTCGCCGCGACAAACCCCTACACATTTATAACCGAATGAAAAAAAATGTCGGAAGAGCGGGCGAGTGGGTGAGCTCACTTCGCAAACGACCGTGAAGGCACGGTTTAGAAGTTGGCCACCGCCAGCCAAGCAAGTGATGAAAAGGGCAGTCAGCCTCTCCAGGGGGTGTGGCAGAAGAGGCGGTACAGCTCCATGGGGGGAAAGGTCACCCAAGAGCAGCAGTCACTCAATTGCTCTAGATTGAAGAGCCGCTTGAACCGCTTAAAAAACTACCCCCCTTGTTTACACCAACACTATCTTTCAGCACTCTTGCTGGGTAAATCCCGTCACGCCGCGCCCGCCGTAGCCGTCCTTGTCCCTCTTCTTCCTCCCGGACAGACGAGAAAACGCCTTCCGCACCCCTTGCAGCTTGCCCCTAACTGTTCCCGTCCCCGTGGGCGTGCCGGCCGCCGCCTCCGTCCGAGCGCTACTGCTACGAGGTACTGCACTAGCACTAGCCGGGGATTTCGAGGCCCGAGCGCTACTGCTACGGGGTACAGCACTAGCCGGGGATTTCAAGGCCCCGGCTTTCGCTGCGTTAACCTCCCCGCCACCGGCCGCTCTTTCGCGGTTGCTCATCGCCGGTGCATGCGCCTGTTTCACGGACGGGGGAGGTGGTGGGGTCGCCAACGCTGTAGACCCCCCTCGAGACGTTACGGATAGCTGGGACAGGTTGGGCGAAGACATCGGGGGAAGCACGCCGATTGAGGGTTTGCCCGTGGTGACCGGTACACTGGGGGGCCTGCTTGTGCTGGTGCTTGTGATCGGTTTGAATGCGCGCAGGTTGCTCCCGGTGCTGGTCCTGCTGCTGCCGCCGCCGCTGCTCCGCCCAATCACTGCCCTATTTCCACCGCTGTAGAATGTACGGGTTTCGACGGAAAGTGCAGAGACAGTCGCCAGGGGTGCCTGAGCAGTACCAGCCGCTCCTGGAATGTTCTTCGTTTCCAATACAGCTCGCTGATGCGACGCAACCGCAGAGGCGCGTGCCGCCGGAGACAACCAGCCGTGCGCCGAGAAAAGGTCCTCCTCGTCGTCCTCGCCCCCGAAGCTGCTCTTCGAGCAAGGCGCCACCACTGGAGGAGGCGACAGCAGCGGCATCTGCTGGGGTGGTTGTCGCACCGAAGCGCGCGCCCCGCTGCTCGTCGCCCACGTCTGCGTCCCCCGCAGCAGCTCGTCGATACGGCGGTGCCGGGGGGACGAATCGATTGATCCCATTGACGAACAACTGACGATCGGCCGGGCGCGAGAGGTCGACTGGACCGCAGGCTCCGGCCCCGAGCCGCCGGGAGCAGTCACACCCACCGCTGCGGTCACAGTCTGCAACTCCGCTCCCTCCGGTAAAGGTTGTGCTTGGGGGAACGAAAGGGCGCCGTCTGCCACGCTGCGATCAACAAAAGCAGCAGGAGCCACCACGGTTGGAGCCGCCGGATCCTTCCCGTTCGGGACGATCCACGGGCGGGTACCGATGTCATCGTCATACAGGTGGGTGCTGCGTAGATCGGTGCTATTAGGCGAGGCCAGAGCGTGATCGTCCACATCGTAACCAGCTCGAAGCAACTCTCCCAATGCCGTTCTAATTTCGACCGTAGCTTGGTTCGCCTGGGAATCCGTCTCCGTAACCGCAGCCGCGGCCACCATTTCTTGCGAAGGGGTGCGTCCATTCTCCTGCGTAGCATCCTCCTCTTCTCCTGTCGGATCCGTGGTCCCCACCGCAGCAGCAGCAATGGCAGCAGCAAGCGCGCCCACAACCGCACCATTTCCCGTCGTTTCCCCATCCACAACATTTTGCGTTTCCTGGGAAGCACTAACTTCCTCTTGCGACAACACTCGCTCCGTGGGTGCTTCCTTGTCCTCAGACTTACCCTCGAACGCTTCTCCGGGGCTATCCGCAACCTCGCTTGCTGCCTCTTGGCTGCCGCCGTCAACGACTCCACCTTTCGCAATGGCAGCAGCAAGCGCGTCCACAACATCTTGCGTTTCCTGGGAAGCACTAACTTCCTCTTGCGGCAACGTTGGCGCCTCCTTGTCCGCAGCAACCTCGCTTGCTGCCTCTTGGCTGCCGCCGTCAACAACTCCACCTTTCGCAATGGCAGCAGCAAGCGCGTCCACAACATCTTGCGTTTCCTGGGAAGCATTACCTTCCTCTTGCGGCAACATTGGCGCCTCCTTGTCCGCAGCAACCTCGCTTGCTGCCTCTTGGCTGCCGCCGTCAACAACTCCACCGTTCGCAATGGCAGCAGCAAGCGCGTCCACAACATCTTGCGTTTCCTGGGAAGCATTACCTTCCTCTTCCGACAACACTTGCTCCGTGGGAGCCTCCAGAGACTTACCCTCGAGGGCTTCTCCGGGGCTATCCGCAACCTTGCTTGCTGCCTCTTGGCTGCCGCCGTCAACAACTCCACCGTTTGCGTCCCGGGAACCAGCGTCATTGCCGTTCGAGGCAGTAGCAGCAGTAGCAGAGGGCTCGATGACTGCCGTGACCGATTCACTCAAACTCGACGCTTCCATAGCTACGTCGTCCTCAGTGCCTTGCATGCCTGACGTCGCTCCATCGCCGTCAACATCAGCACCACGCTCACTGTTACCGTCAGCGGCCGATTCATCCACACTCGCCGCTTCCACCACTACGTGGTCCTCATCATCCTGCGCACCCGATGTCGCTCCATCACCCTCAATATCAGCACCATCCTTGCCGTTACCACCAGCATCTTCGTCAGCAGCGGCAGCATCGACATAAGCAGCCGCGCTAGCGGCGGCAGCAATAGCACCAGAACCCGCGGCTATTTCGTCCTCGCTCGGGGCCGCTGCGACCGGAACTGCAGCAGAGGGCGCGCGGGGTTGCTCGGGCACGCGGAGAAGCCGAGCCACGTCTTGCAACGCCGGTCTAGCGGTCGGGTCTTGCGCCCACAGGAGGCGCACGAGGTCGCCGAAGTTCTCATAGTCTTCGAGAGCGGTCGGCGCGAATGACAAAGCCGGCCGTTCGCCTCGGGACACCCTGTTCGACACTTCTTCTAGCGTGAGGCCTTCCCATGGTTGACTGCCGGTGAGCACCTGTTGATATTTAACACAAATGGCCGCGAAAGGCAGAACGATCACAAGGGCATCAGCGTCATCATTGGGATCGAAGTATCATGTACTCTCCGTCGTATTTCTACAGTATCAGGCGAGATAAATCCCCAACCTGCTGCTCCTCCGGACAAGGGAGTCCTTTTTATCTCCAGCAGTTGCCTACCCGTCTCTCTCTTCAAATCATTCTCAACCATGTCTCAGCAAAACTGTTGGAGCACGATGGAGCGAGGTATGAGTTCACTTCTGGCTACGGTGCGGCTACCAACCAAGCTTTGGGAGAGAGAGACCAATAGATGATACACACCGACCCAAAACAAAGACTGTATCGAGATGCACGAAAGAGGTAAGGGCACGAAATGGAAAACCGAAACGATGAGGCGCCAGGGTACATACCACACAAGGATACGAGGAGAGGAGGTACCACGACTGCCAAGCAGTATATCGTGTCGAAAAACTTCGACAATTTCAATTACGGATAGGATTAGGGTCAATATGGCGTAAAGCTTGAAGAGCACGCATATGGAGAGCCAAACGCGAACAAAAATTCCAGCTGCGACATTCATACCCATGCTCACCTCCCACGCGATCATCCCAAAAGCGTAGGCGTCCGCCATGAAAGCCGCCTTCTTCTTGCCGTCCAAAGCTTCGGCTTCTGCCGCCACCAGCGTTTCCGCTGCCAAATCAGCGACCGAAGCACTTTCTTCCTCCTCCGCCACCACCGTCGATTCTTCACCCGCTACCGCGCCCGCCGCCTCTTCTGCGGCCTTCTGCCTAGCAGCCGACGCAACCCAGGTCTCGGGAGCCGTCCACACACTCCCCTGCGGATCGAGCACGCGGGGAACCGCCGCCCCCTTCATCGGCAGCGCGTCCGACTCCTCCGATACGGTTGCGGAGGAGACCATGAAAGACGCGACGGCCTTCCTGGTGTCGGTCAGGCCGAACAAGGACAGCTGACTCGCGCAAAGCAACAGTTCGGGGGGAAGGCAGGGCCGCAAATGAGGGGGAGCGTCCGCTACTGTCGAGCAAACAGCCATCTGAGGCAGGGCTCAGATAGAGGCAGGGGGGTGGGGCACGTCGGCCTCACAGTTTGAGCGCTGACGTCTTGCTCGCAACAACCATGCGAACGGCTACGCTAGCAGCACGTAGTTGCGACAAGGCAACCATCCGTACGAACCTATCCCTATTCTCAGGAACTTCCCGCGGTGGGAAGAAGCTGTACCTGAGGCCCTTTGCAAATTATGAGGCAGCCAGTCGAATATACGCCTTGCTGAATCGAAACCAAAACACCCAGACAAAACAAACAGCGAGAATCAGCCAACAGGATTCCACGCAACCGATGCAGCCAGCCAGTTGCGCCACCAATCCAAACGGCGGCCCAGTGAAAAAAATTCCTCTCGTATTTACGCCTGCCCCGTTACCTTCGCTCTACCCTCCGCATCGAGCAGCACGTTCTCCGACGACAGCGCCCCATGGGACACCCCGCGCTCGTGAAGGCAGGCCAGCCCTTCCGCGATGTCCGCCAGCACCTTCCGGCGTCGCAGAAGCTGCGCCGCCGGCGCCTCACCACTGCTAGCAGCGCGAGCTTCCTCCTCTCCCTCGCCCCCCTTCGCCGACAAGTTTTCTTCCACGCCCGCCTCCCCACCTTCTTCCAACACGTCCGCCCTCTCCTCTCCGGCCGCCGCCGCGGCGGCGCCGCACGCTTTGATCCGGTCGCGAAGGGAGCCTCCCTCGACCATCTCCCCTACCAGAACAAGCGCCGCCGGCCCGTCCTCCTCGCCCTGCTCGCCGCCGCCGCCGCCGCTCTTGTGGTGGACGATGCGCAGGGACCCCTGCGTCGAGATCGACTCGTTGCCGTACGTGCGCGCGAGCCGCGCGTGGAGAGGGACCAGGGACGACAGGGCGCGGAGCTCGGACGTCGCGGACCGCCGCAGCAGCTTGGCCGAGGCCGTGGACCAGACGGCGGCCATGCGGTCGGAGGTGTTGATCGACAGCACGGTGGCGGAGACGGGGATCCCCAGGTACTCCGCCGCGTACGTCGGGCCGAACGTGCCCTGCACGTGGGGGGGGGGGGGGGGAGCTTGC